CTGTCTGTTCTATCTAGTCATGGATGGTTTCTTGTGTACATTAACTGGGAAGCTCCGTTACTCCTTGGACAGCCGGCAAAATAATCTTTATGAATGCGGTTTCAGGCATTGGGATGTTGTGTTCGGCAGAAGTAGCTGATACTGCATCTTTGTAGGGGTGTCATCGAGTAGTCCGGTACCCGTGCTACCCGTTATTAGAGCGGGTATTCCGGTAGCAGTTTGCTTCTTAGAACCCAATAGCGTAGTTGGAGTACGTTTTTTTTTTTTGCAACGGTGCATGTAAAAAGCACGGCTATGTGCTTACAGTGCTGCCAACCTGCTCGGTCTGATTTGCGTACTCGGACTGCTGAATTTCCGTATTTTCCAGAGGTTTTCCGTACTACCATTTGTTTTTAAATCCCATGATTTGTAAAGTATTTTTTGCGACATTTGTAGTCTTTGGGGTACCCTATATACCGGGTGCTCAGTAAGTCGTACTTTTATTTTTTTATTTATCGTCTCCACTTCATGGTACATAATACCACATAGCCAATACAAGAAGGGGAGGGTGAATCCAACCACGGAAAATAGCATTATCAAAAGAAGAAAAGGAAGAGTCTTGGTCCCGGGAAGCGATACGTCACGGGAACTGTAGCCTAGTGTAGGACAGCCAGCAATGGTGTGCAACATACGTACACAGCGCTTGAAAGCTTTGTCACTGTCTGATGCTCGGGGTCGCAGTCAGGAACACTGTTTTTAGCGTGAAAGTAGGTCTACTCCGCAGTTTTATGTGCTCTGCATGCAATTATGTACATAGTCATGTACATGTACATGTAGTACCATATCATGTACATGAAAGGGGAAGTTAAGGCCAAAATTAAAATTTCACCAGTTGTAGTCTTCGGGGTGCTGAGTCGAATAGTCGTGGTCCGAGGAAGCTGAGACGCTCCCTTCCTACTTGAATCCCAATCGAACTCGCGCACTTCCACCGAAACTGGGTGACTGCGCCCTACTAGATTGGGATTTGTATGCAAAATGTCACTAAAAGCGCCATTTCGTTCTTATAAAAGCATGGATGACCGCGACTGGCCCATATGTTGTAGTCTTTGGGATGCTGAGTCGATTGGTTTTGGTCCGAAAAGGCTGCGATGCAGCGTTCCTCCTTTATTCCCAATCGAACATGGTTGAACAAGCGGTCACGTGCTCCTGCATACGCCAGTCACCTGGTCACCGTGCCTGCAGGGTACAACTTACTAGCCTGTTTGACCTTTTTTGGGTGCAGTCCTGTCACTCGAGTTGAACTCGAGTTGAACCTTGGTGCGAAAGTTGTCGCCTGCTGGCGTGGTGACCAGGTGATTTGGGCACCCAGGAGCACGTGACCGCTTGTTCAACCATGTTCGATTGGGAATAAAGGAGGAACGCTGCATCTCAGACTTTTCGGACCAAAACCAGTCGACTCAGCGTCCAAAAGAGTACAACATATGGGCCAATCGCGGTCATCCGTGCTTTTATAAGAACGAAATGGCGCTTTTAGTGACATTTTGCATACCAATCCCCATCTAGTAGGGCGAAGTCACCCAGTTTCGGTGGAAGTGCGCGAGTTCGATTGGGATTCAAGTAGGAAGGGAGCGTCTCCTCTTTCTCGGACCAAGACCATTCGACTCAGCACCCCGAAGACTACAACTGGTGTTAATTTTTGCCTTAACTTCCTCTTGAAGAAAAATGTGTTCGTAGTCAGCTCATCCATACTTCTCTCTCAGTTTTCCGTACAATTCTGTCAATTTCCGTACTGCAGACAAAGGAATGAATTTCTGTACAAATACGGAAAAATACAACAGGTTGGCAGCACTGTGCTTAATGTACACTTTCTACCTATCGCAAGTGCACACTAACTGCACAAACTATGCCACATATACCCGATAGGGTACCCGCGCTACCCGGATAGAAATGCCCAAACTAGTTACCCGACCAAACCTCTACCTGTTGCATAACTACGTCGTTTTGTGCTCAGGACAACACAGTAACATAGCCAGTGATTGGCAATGGCCAAGAAATCAGTAATTAAGTCCATTGCAAAGTGCAATACCACATAACACGTGCTTTTAACTCTCTTATGGCTATTGGAAAGTGCAATTTTTGTCATCAGAGTTTGATTGGAAATACTATCATTCTCACTCACGCTAGTGCCCTTCACCCACACACAGAGAAACAGTTCTTGAAGTTGTAAAGAGAATCTTTGGAAGAACATGTTGCAAGACGCGACAATACATGTAGTACACAACTCCACGCACGATCCAAGCACAACGTTGCTCGCACAGGCGACCCCCCCCCCCCTCACAGTGTTGCACGTTGCGACCGCCCCCCCCCCCCCTCCCCAACCTAGGGAAGGCAAAAAGGGGGGCTCCACTGACACAGAGGTCAAAATGACAGCACTTTTGCTTTAGTAAAATAATCTTGAGTACGCATGCAGAGGCGAAAAGGGGGCTCTGATGACACAGTGGTCAAGAAGACAGCACCTTTGCTTTACCGTAAAAGCCCGTGTATACGCCCACTCGAAATTACGCCCACTCTCCGTGTACATGCCTAGTCAGGGGAAGACAACACTTTGTTTCAAAATAGCGCCCATGCCCATGTATACGCCCAGGTATGCCGGAAACACCAGTACATGTACAGGTACTGATACCCAATACTTACTGCTATCCCTATTCCAAGTATACGCCCGGTTCCAAAATAACGCCCGTGCCTTTGTATACGCCCAGGAAATCGAGGCTGCTATTCTATACGCCCGGGGGCCTATACAGTCAACTTCGCTTATAGCGACACTCGGCGGGGCATCAGAAAAGTGTCCTTATTCGCGAAGTGTCGTTATACCCGAAGTCCCATTATATGTATTACAGTTGGATGGGACTTTGCTCTGGGCACGGAAATTCTGTCGTTATATCCGCAGTCGTTATTGGCGAAGTTGACTGTACACGGGCTTTTACGGTAATGTCCTTGCCTTGATAGCGTACTTGTGCTTAAGTTAAGTTAACTGTTGCTGACGGCCAAATGTATGGTTGCTTGTGGAGCACATTACATAACTTTACAGTCTCCTATAATACGCATCCTGTCGGACGGCAAAAGAGGCTGCGGATTTAGTTTTTCTGCACGTTATCAGCAATGACTACTGATCTTCAGCAACTTGGGTCTCCTATAATACGCATCCTGTCTATGCTTTTGTAATGCCAGCATAATGCTCGGGATAGCACTCGCTGCTGATCTTCAGAGACGTGGCCAGACTCTCACTCACAATAAGACTGTTGTAATGTTCATTGTTCCCAAACGGTCGCTGGTTTCTCCCATAATTTCATCGTACTGTTGTGCGACATGCTATACGACATCCTTATATCGTATAACACTGTATTGATGTCTTTGATGGTACGGTACGGTACAGGTACGGGATAGCGCCAGGCATGCCGATGGCACAAACAAACAACAAACAAACAAACACGGAATTAAAGCTGTGTGGACCCTGCCTAGCGCCAGACGTTACTGAAGTAACATCTTTTGCATAGCTGCGGGAATAATCTTCCAGTGTATATTGATTTTCTGCTTGTCTGTGGTGTGTTCTTTTCAACCGTTTGTTTACTTCTGTATGATCAACTCACTCTTCTCATCTCCTATGACGGATTTGTTCCAATCTTGTCGGCAATATGGATGTTCTTGATTGCAACTGCAGCGGGTAAGTTGATGATCATCAAGAAGTCTTTAGCACAAACGAATATTGATCCCTTCTCGGTTCTTTCTAATAGAGTCCGTGTCGGCTGGGGTGTCCGTGGTGTGCTTGAGCAGCGCTTTTGCACACGCAGTCTTTCCTGTCTGGTCAAGTTAGTTATTGTTGTGCAACGAGTGCCGTATAGTAATAAAAGGACTTGAGGACTTGAGAACTTGGCCAGGCAGGCACTCAGTGTTTCTAGTTGATTTATTTTTGTTTCGATTTATTTGCATTTATTTGGCACGGCTAAGCGGACGCTACTAGTCACGTACCCTTATGCAGATCCGTCTACATTTTGAGTGCATGTGATGTCCTTATTTTGTTGCATGTAGATTAGTGCAGTATGGTGGCTTTGTGTCCGCTGCTGCGGGTGCGCTGTAGGTGCACTTGTACGTGCATGTTCTGCTGAGGAGCAAAATCCACATATCTCCAGACTCTGGGATGAATAATGGAGTGTGGTGGTGGGCCCATTAAGCTCCGCCAACCAGAGGTCTCGGCTTCATAGCTCCATAGACGCACCAAAGGGAGATTGGGTAGGGAGGATTAAGTTGAAAAAGAAAACAGAAGAAAGAAAATGGAAAGATTGTATTGCTCAGTGAGCAAGAGAATAAGTTGAGTATTGATGTCAACGCTGTTAGACTTTTAAATTCAAGAGGAGACTGTCTTTGGGGAGAGGTTAGGTCCAAGTAGGGTAGGACACTGTACCTACAATGGAGCTCACTTTTAAAATACGTACCTGGAAAATACGGTTAATATTCTGGTTCTGTTTTAGCTGCACCTCACTGTGGTGACTGATTCATTGATGAATGCCACAAGAAAACGTTTGATTCGCAACTCGGCTGTTTCACCGTGACTGCTGATGAGCGCATTTACATTCGTCATTTCAATACTACAGTTTCGAAATACTTCTCTAATTGTAGTACATGCAGTTCCTGGCTAATCTCTCTCAAGTGCATGAGAAAGTGGATGTGCTTTTTTGTTTTTGTGATGCGATGTAGAAAGAAGTCCTATGGAAGAGCAGAGGAGGAAGGAAGTGTTCTCAAGCTGCGTCGCCGACATTGTCTACGAGCGAGTACTACTCATGGGCCCTGGTCGCGGTGGAAAAACTGGAGTGTTGAGGTCGCTGCAAGACAAGAAGTTCACGAAGACCGTCAGTACACTTGGCATAGACATGGAAAAGCTTACCTTCACCCTGAATAAGAGCAAAAGAGGAGTGTACCAATTGGAGCCAACGGATGCGTCACATCACCTAGCCCTGCTGTCTGCCTCAATCGTCGACAAAATTATCGGTGCTGGAGCTGACTCTCGGCAAAGTGATGTCCGCGGTACAAACGCCTTCCAGCGTCTGGCAGGTGGAGCAGCTGGTGCAGCTGGTGCAGTTTGGGGCACGTTTTTCAAGCGTCTGGATGAGACTTCTGGTTTGGGTGAGAACACACTGTTTGTTGACGTGTGGGATTTGGCAGGGCAGATGCCATTCCACGCGTTACACGACCTTGTGTTTTCACCCGAACGCACCACCTACTGCGTCGTCTTTGATGCCAGCATCACACCGGATACACCGTATGCAGATATCCTGACTGATGAAGATGGCGAGGACAATCAGCTCAACATCAACCAACCCACCTGTACCTACTTTGATGTCATCGATTCATGGCTATGTACAGCCCGCGAAGCACTTACCGACAACTCCACAGCGCCGATTTTCCTCATTGGCACACACCTGGATCGTATGTCGAAAGAAGATGTTCGCAAAAGAAGGAAACAACTGCAACAACTGACGCTCGGCAAGAAGTATACTGACAGCCTCCATCCGATCATCTTTGTTAACAACACTCTGTCTGGGTCAAAAGTTGACCAAGGAGTTGCAGAGTTGCGTGAACAGTTGGCCTGCGTCATTCAATCCCGTCGCAGAGAGAAGTTGCCAATCTCGTGGCTGCCATTCCCAGAGGTACTGGAGGCGATTGCACAGGAGACGTCATCATTCATCATGAGCTATGACAGGGTATGCAGCATCGCTCATGATGCATTTGGTGATGCTGACGTGGATGTGCCTCGTCTCTTGAGCTTGAACCAGTCGCTTGGCTATCTCATTGTCTTTGATGATGAGGGTAGCCACTTTCCATCGGCTACAGCTAGTATGCCACCTGTTGGAGCAACACAAGCATCATCAGCATCCACACCACGAGCAGCACCACTACAATCACCAGCAGCAGCAGCAGCGCCCACGTCACAACCTCAGCCACAAGCCATGGCAGAAGGAGTAGCAGCCGCAGCTTTTGGCCAAAGAAAAAAGGTTCTAGCTAGCACCCCATGGCTGATGTTGGCATCCAAGGCTGTCCTTTTGCCAGCACCGTTGCTGAATAAGCAGGCTCGCGAGTTCAAGGAGCAGTACAAGCTGCTGAAGGATGGCATCCTGTGTGAGTCGTTAGCCATTCACCGATGGCAGCAGGAGAAGGCCACGGAAGGTCTGGTGCGATCTCGGGAGCAGCGTCGGAGTCTCTTTTCACTGCTAGCATCTCATGGCGTAGTCTATGATGCTGGCGAAGATGATCCATTTTGTACAGGGTACAAAGTCTATTATGTGCCAGCCCTTGCCCAGTGTAAGCCGTCACAAGCGCTAGAGTCCAAATCAGCGCCGCTCTACTTGGTTGACGAAGATCCAGACAGGAGCATCACTCAAGCGCATTTTGGCCGAATCACCGTGCGATGCTTGCAGAAGTACAAACCAGACCGGAAGAAGGATTTGCGCATGGGCCTCGAAGTTGCAATGAGATGCCAGAATGAGTTTCAGCTTCAGCTCTCCTATTCTTCCAGTGCCATTTGCATCACAGTGGACAGCGACAAGAGCGAGAAGACAATAGATCACTGCGAGTCTGTTGTTCGCTTCATTCTCAGTGCCACCACAGAGCTGCAGCAGCTGTATGGCCAGCGCCTGCTGCGCCTCCATCCCAGCATTGCGTGCCTGTGCCGCTATGACCGGCCATGCCAGCTTCATGACCAGCAGCACTGCAGGAGCACCGGATGCCAGCACTTTGCAGAGATTGGCGAAGACGTCCGACCAATTCGCTGTGGCCTAAGGCAAGCGCATACCGACCGGCCAACGTGGGATAGATGGATCAAGGTAAACATTGTTATCGCAATAGAAGGATGTGCGTTCACCCTGCTCATTCTCCCAATGTATAGATAATATAATCAAGTTGGCTGCTCTCCACACTGGAGCTCGAAGATTTCCCGCCGACCTGACTTGGCACTTGACTGACTCACAACTGACACGCAGGGCACCGACTTTATTTTAGGAAATAGACTGAATTACCGTACATCCCCGTATGTGACTCACCTTTTTACACTAAAATTCAACTGTAAAAAGGAGTGTGCGACTTACAATCGAGCGTGACTTACTACTGAAATCAATTATAAATTACAGGGTACCTCAAATTAAATTAAATTATAAATTAAATAATATATCAAATCAATATTGCCTAAACCTGAAAATGGGGGGGGGGGACTTGTAATCGGGAAATACGGTACTGCTGAAGTACTGAATAGGGTGGTAAGCAGTAGGTTTCAGCCCGTTTACCATTCATTGCTGGGGTGTGAATGAGGTGGTCCAGTGCATGCCCGGCACTAGTATGCTGGAGGTTGAATTTCATCACTTAGAAAATCAAGTACACGTCCCTTTCTTTTTCTTTGGTGTGTTGATGGTGTTTTTCAGCCGTTCTACCCGGAGTGCAATGTTGATGACTTGTGTCGCTTAGTTGTTGACGGCGCTGCTGGAATGAATGACGACGGTGAGTGAAACAAATGATAGGTCGATAACTTGGATAGGATGGAAGGAAGACTATCCTAGAATTTGCTCATACAATAGGTGTGTGCATTTCGTTTGCTGTTTGCTTTGATGATTTCCACGGTTGTCGTAGTCTTGGTGGTACTTTCACTGAATTTCTGCTTTGCCTATGTTCATTTCTATAATGCACATTGTGATAACTGGATCCTCACTTTACTGTGTGTCATTTTTTCTCTCGGCTTGCCAGACAATCCTTGGTGTGATATTCGCTACAAGAGGCACCATCAGTGGTTTGTCGAGAGACTTCCACCACGGGAGACTCGCCTTGCGGCGGTCTCGAACGGGCTGATTATGGAGGGTTTTCAACGCTGCCTGATGGATCGCAGTATTCGCAATGATCACAACGAAGAATTTCTCAGAGAGGTCTCTGCCGGTGGTCGTAGGACATTCAAGCTGTTCCTGGAGGTCCTTGATGAGCTTGGCTACAACTTTGTGAATGTGCGGGCGAAGCTGCAACTGCTAGTGTCTTCTGATACTGAAAGCACTGCTGCCATGACCAGTAAGTATTTTCTACTGCAGTATAGTATGTCTTAGTGTATGCATTCATGCATGCAGGTGTTCAGTGCATGAATCATGCGTGGAGTAGGGGTTGGGGGACTTCTACATTTTAAAGTGCTATTGTGAGCATAAGTTATACTTGTGCTGTTGCCAATACACATGATGGGTGGTGAATGAGTTTCGGCAGAACTGTAGCTGTTGAACTGTAATAGAATAACCCATAGTCACAAAGTGTGTGATGCAGCCGGTGAGGTGGGAGAGGTTTGTTTAATGTAGATGTTGTCTTTGCTAGCCCAGGAATAGTCTTGATGCCAGGGTTTGACGCAATTGTGGATTTGTGTTTCCTGCATTTGTACTTGTCTTTTCCGTTACAAGGTGCAGTGAGTGCTAGTGGAGTGTCTCATCCGCAGGTGTCCGCACTTCAGTTCATAGCAGGGGCAACGATGACAGAGTCTGGGTGAGTTGCAGCCATTGCATGCGTATAGCTTCAGACTTGCACTCCCCTGTCTGTGCAACACGCTCCATGCAGGTCAAGGTCTCTTTTTGATTTCTTTACGGTGTTCAGAGTTGCACACTTGATCCTTGAGAGTCACAGTGTTCCTACAGATGCCGAAACTCAGTCTAACAGAGTCTCGCACAAACTGTGAACTTTTTTACATAGCACGGTGTGACTCTTGTGTGCAATGTGACACTTTCCATTGTACACCTCCCTCCTTCCCCTCCTTGAGCATAGTTGTGACTACAAGTCTTAGATCAAGGTACACCGGCTAACGGACAAACAGGTGTTCAGAGCATCTCCGCGGACTGACGATGCTGCATGCATCGACCACACCGGATCACCTGGTCGTCCGGCGCGTACAGGTTTATCTAGGTCTCGCCGGGTTATGTTTCCTAGAGCGGGTGCTATCCGATCCTTGTTTGGTCTCCGGCGTGTGATGAGTCTAACAACCTAGTGCAGGTCGTTCTTCACGCTTCACCTGGTCTTGCACCGTGCCAGTACAATCAGTGCTAATCTGGCGTGCTGTCTCAAGATTATTCTTAGACTGTCGGCGTGCAGTATAAACGTGGCTCCCAATGCATGTCTGAATTTCCTGCTGCTGGGTTGGGTTTTTTGTGCAGGAGAATGTTGGAAGAAATCCGTGACCAAGAGAGTCTCTGCCGCCAACTGAACGCAATCTTCAGCGAGGAAGAGCGAGGTGAGTATGGGGGAGGGGGGAGCACTTAAAGGGGTAGTTCACCCTAAAATGAAAACTTGACAACCTGTAGCTAAAATGCACTGATTCCAATGGTGAAGATCCCAGGTTGATCGGAGCAGCCGTTCCCGAGTTATAACAACTTGAAGTTTTCACTTAACTCAATGACATCATGCCGACGTCACTAACTTGCCCAGACTAGTTTTCAAACTTCGGTATGGGACATCCGGCATCCTACCCGTATCCCGACTGGAAAAATCTTCACCATTGCAATCAGTGCATTCCTCTCTTCAAGTTATTAAGTTTTCATGTTGGGGTGGACTTCCCCATTAATTGTTGCCTGATCGTACTTTCCCTTTTTTTCTTCTCTTTTCTACTCTGTTTTGATTTCACCTTAAGGCTGCAACCACACTATTAAAATACAAAATCACGTACAAATGGCATTACAGTAGAAATTGTCATGGCGGCGTGTGCGCGAAATGCAAAATGGGCTTTGTAGGTTTTCAGCAACCGGCGCACTCCTGCAGAAAGCCACGTTTGTCGTTTTCGTCGTATTCATGCTCCATCTCCTGTGTACAGCGTTTTTTCTACCTAGTCGTACGGTATAGCATCAGCATCAGCATACAATTATTGTTTTTGAATTTCCCGGTCTTTTCCAACACGTGGCACACGCTTTGGTACGACAACGTCACATGCTGGTCGCGTGAAAACGTCATCTATGCAGGCCGAAAAGTGTAATGTTGCATACCGACTTGTGAGATATGCACGAAAATTTGTACTGGTATTTTTTACGTAGTGTGGCTGCGGCCTAAAGTAACTAGTTGCATGTCTGAAAAATGCCAAAGTGCTAACATGGCGTGGTGATGGTGTTGCTATGGTGTTATGAAGAACTACAGTTGCCATGGTGTTATGACCTCGATAATTCAACAACAGCAAGCACACACACAAACGTTGACCCAGACCCTTGTGCAGAGTCAGATGGCTTTTCAAGCCAAGCTTTTTGACAAGTACTTTGGCAAAGATGATTAATCTTTTTCTTTGTGTGATCTTCACACAATCCTTAAACATAATCTGCACTTTTTTTGTCCCTAGCCTTTCACACGCTTCCCTCGTTTTATAGTCCTTGCATTGTTCAGAAGAAATACAGTTGCCATGGTGTTATGAATAAATGTTACTATGGTGTTACCATTGCAATTTCAAATTTGGACTTCACGGAGAATTTCAAAGTTTTAGGAAATTAGAGGCCACATGCCACGCACTGCTCTTTTCTCTCCAAAAATCAACACTTGCAAGCCAGATATGAAAGAAAGAAAAATCATTAGTCAATAGCAAGGTCCCTGGTTCGAGTCCCGGTGGTGTGACTGTTGATTTTTTTCTTTCTTTCATATCTGGCTTGCAAATGTTGAGCTTCGGAGAGAAAAGAGCAGTACGTGGCATGTGGCCTCTAATTAAATAATTCCTAAAACTATGGTGTTCCCATGGTTACTATTGATTGTTCAGATGAGCTGGCCTGTGCTGTTGTGGAGGAAGTGACTGGAGACTGGGAGAACGCTGAGCAGGTCATCAAAGATTCATGCCGCAGACGTCGTAAGCAAGCTCCTGATCATCGTGATGCGAAGGCCATCCTCAGCTACTGGATTAGTAAGCGTACCAGTCCACCGTGCACAGATCACATGATCAAGCTGGTGCGTGAGGTTTGTCCCTTGCGTGTCTGTGACATCAAGGTGCTGCTGAGGTGAGTACTGGCTCCATTCTGCTCCTGCTGCTGCTGCTAGTGCTACTGCTGGTGCTTCTGTTATTGGTACTGCTGCTGCTGCTGCTGCTTTTGTTGCGACTGCTGGTGGTGGTTGTGGTGGCGGTGATGGTGGTGATGGTGGTGCTGCTGCTTCTGCTGGCCATAGTTCACATTCATACTTTGCAATGTGTTTGTGTGGAACTGCTGGTAATTGCTCTGTGAGGCTATACAGGTGGTTGTGCTCAGGGAGTATTGTAAAAGCAGAAAAGCTAGTCGGTGAACAATGTCGTCCAACTCCAATGAAAGGGAGATTGTGCGGTTGAAAATTTAGTCAATGGTAGCTAGCAGGACCAATTTCCAATGTTATCCTTGTGCCATGTACTTCTGTTGTTGCCTGCAGTACGACTGAGCCATCCAACTGAGCCAGTGACCTGTTTACGCCACTCCATCACCATGGATACCAGCATCAAGATGGCTACCAGCATCACCATGGGTCACCATGGATATAAGTAACACAAGTACATGTGATCATTGTATATACCGTACCCTGGAACAACAGTAGCCGCAGCTTTAGTTCTGCTTAACGTGCTACGCTGTATGTCATGTCATAGCCACCCTCCGAGTTTCTGTGCTTTCCCTCTCCTCCAACCGTTGTTGATTCTGACCTGCTTTTCTCAGCAAGTGCAGTGCAATGTGCTGCAAGCTGGCATTCTTGTTTTCCATGGACGTTGCTTGTTTTTTTTTAATGTTCCTCTCAGTACATGTAGTCGGTGTGTGTGTGTGTGTGTGTGTGTGTGTGTGTGTCTGTGTGTCTGTGTCTGTGTGTGTGTGTGTGTGTGTGTATGTATGTGTGTGTGTGTGTGTGTGTGTGTGTGTGTGTGTGTGTGTGTGTGTGTATGAGTGTGCACACACTTGATTGTACTTGTAGACCATGCCCGGATAGCTACTAGCTACAACAAGCAATATTTTAGTTACATGTAGGTCTCAACATAGGGTGTCTTCGACAGTATCCTGTTTGCCCCCCCCCCCCCCTAACTTACATGTAGCTGGCTGCTGCTTTTCCACTGGAGCAATCTGTGTTTGTAGGCTTGCTTGAAATATCTAATGTCCTGTCTTTAGTAGCCACTTACACACTCTAGTTAAACCGCCTCGCTAATGCAAACTCTAACTGCACTACGCTGTGCACGTACACAGAGTGCAGCTGTATTTGCGAAACGCTTTTTTCCTATTTCTTGTGTGTATGCTGCCACTAGTGCTGGTCGTGTCCGCTGTCACGTGATTGCTGCACATTGCTCTGTGTCTGCCTTCCAGAGCCTGTGCAGTGGTCCAGTCCGCTGGGCTGCGCTGTACATGTAAATACATGATGCTCGCTCTCTCGCTCTCTCTCTCTCTCTCTCTCTCTCTCTCTCTCTCTCTCTCTCTCTCTCTCTCTCTCTCTCTCCGCTGCTTCTTGGGCGTGTCTTGTTTTAGATCAAACTTCTATTATGTGTTACTGTA